CAGCCTATAAATAGTAGATATAAAATCAGCCAACCAAATATTGCAGCTCTGTTACAAAAACCAGACACAAAGCAAACAATATCCTCTTGATGACGACATCTTCTTGAGAACAAATGAGAATGGAAGGCACTGATTTGATTTGATTCAAGAACCAACATCACATAACTCAGGGCATTCCCATAAGCACTTCATCCCCATCTTCAGCAGCCAGCGAAGAGTTCCAATATCAATAGTGCCAGTAGCATTCTGATTAAACGTCCGTCTTGCCTTTCCTCTGAGCCTCCAGTATCTGCCAGAACCTTTCGTCACTCCCCCCCTGCATCAATCTCACCAGACTGTGGTGATCCATCCGCTCCGCCGAACTGTACATGCTCTCCCACAAGGCACTAACCACTACTGCCTTATCATGCATCAGTATTCCACCAAGTTGTGCAGAGCCAGCCAGTCTGTCCACATCTTCATTTCCCAACACACCGGTTTGCCCTGGTGAAAAAAATCCAGAAAATACTCCCCATCCGTGTCGTCCGCAGCGAGGCATGCCACTCTGCATGAAGCATGCCTGTCCTGATCTTCCTCAGCATGCTTTCTGATTCAGTTACAACCAGGATGTGTGTGTCCTATTCTCTAGCCAGCGGAAAGCTGCAGTGACTCCTCCACCTCCATTCTTAAGCTGGATGTTGTGGTCAAAGGGCATTAAAATTAACAAGTACATCATGTGAGGTGTAAAACAGAGCTGCTGTGAATCTACAAAATTACATCTTATTGTGAACATTTATCTCTTGCAACAACATTTATCCCTTGCAATAACATTTATCTCTTGCAACAACATTTATCTCTTGCAATAACATTTATCTCTTGCAACAACATTTATCTCTTGCAACAACATTTATCTCTTGCAACAACATTTATCTCTTGCAATACTGATGTCTTCAGAATGTGGTGAATGAAAACTAAACCATGCTACAAATCTGCCAAATATCACTTAGAAAGTCACAAAATCAGCAATCTAATATTAAAATCAATCTTTTGAACAAAAGCTTTTTCATCAACACAGAAACTTGTCATTCCTAACAAATCTATTTATATTGGGTGTTGTGGAAGATGTAAGGATCTACGTGTGTTCTTTCTTATATATATATATATATATATATATATATATATATATATATATATATATATATATAAGAAAGAACACATGTAGATCCTTACAATGAAGATCAACTTAATGCAATAAAAAAAAAATTATATCAAAATTTTTTTAAACCAGATATTTTAATAATACAGTATCTAGTTCTGTATTAAATGAAAGTTCCTAAAAGTCTACTTCGAAAAAAATATAGTCAATGACATGTCATAAAAACTAATAATAACAGTCAGTTTGTTAATACAAACTTTTTTTTAAAAATTACTTAAGAAACAAATAAAAAAGCAACATAGGCAATAGAAACTGTCAATAACATATATTTATAGTTATTTTACCCTGTCTAAGAAATAATACATAGATAATAACGGTTCGTCTGCAGGCCAGTTATTTGGTTTCGTTTATTTAATTACAAAACAATAGACTTCAATGCTTTCCAGTCATCGGCTATAAAAACACAATTATGAATACATGTAGACACAAGACATGACAAATTATCACTAATTTCTAAGTTTCCATTTTAAGTGAATGACCAAGACTGGTCAAATTCTAAGCAGACTAGGTAATAACTTTTCAGTTCTGTACATTTTTTTCTTTTAATGCCAAATTCACAATAGAATCTCAATCAAATTTCAATCTAAAGAAGTTCTAATTATATATATATATATATATATATTCAAATTTCTTTAGATTGAAATTTGATTGAAATTCTATTGTATATTTGGCATTGACAAAAAAGTGACAGTACTGAAAAGTAAATATATATAAGAAGCCAAAGTGTGAATATTGCACTGTCTTCCTTAGACTGTTAAGGAGAAAACATGTAGATAAACAAGAAAAGATTCAAGTATAAGCATAGAGTATGAATATAAAACAAACTGCTCTTCAGTGTTTGCAAACAAGATTAAAGAACTTCAAGCACCAGGTGTTGGAACAATACATACATTTGCAGATGATGTTCTTGCATACAGGCAGGGGTGTGATAGGCTATAGACAGCCCAAAAGCTGCAGGCAACTGAAGAAAAATTGACTGACTGGGGTACAGAGATGGGTGCTGTCATCAGCTCAGAAAATGTAGCTGATTTGTGGTGACCTCTGGACAATAGAACTGTTAAAGCTGATGTTCCAAGCCACACAATTAAAGACAGAAACATCAAAAAAGAAAGCAAACTGAGGTATCTGGGTATAATTTTCCATCGAAGCCTGCCCTCCAGGGATCCTGAGGAGGCAGTTGTGGTAAAATGTCAAAAAGGACTCAAAAAGTGCCCTCAAGATTATGGCAGCAATGGACATGAAACAAAAAATGTTGTTCACAATGTTCCAGTGTAATGAAATATAGGCAGAAAGGGGTTAAATGAACAAGCATACATTTCAGACCACCACACGGCGTACTAATCCATCACTGTGTGAAATGACAGAAATAGGTGATTAGAAAGCCATGGCCTAGCCAGCTATGCAGAACACACCGCCATGACATCTGACAGTGAGGGATGAAACATTCGACGAGTGCCCGTGAACTGTGACCAGCGGATGAGATACGTTCATCCAGACGTGACCACATAAGACAGGTGACAGAGAAGTGATGGAGAAGGTACGCCAGGAGGAGCGGGAAAGCGGGAATAAAGTTAGAGCCAGGGGCTTGAGAAGTTAATTAGCCCCGGGACCGCTTGAGAGGACAGTTTAGCCCCGGAACCGCCATGAGAAGACAGTGAGGGCTAGACCGCTAGAGAAACCGGTTAGGAGAAAACTAGTGCTGTACTTCGTTAGAAGGTATATGTTAAACTTGGAGTTTAGCTAGAACAGTGAGTTAGCCACGGAACCGCTTGATAGGACAGGTTAGGAGAAAACTAGTGATTTACTTCGTTTAGAAGGTATATGTTAAACTTGGAGTTTAGCTAGAACAGTGGTTAAGGAACTCGTAGAGAGTCATACGAATAGCCTGTATCCAGATAATACAGTGTTCATATACTATTGAATTTATGAAGCCTCTATGACTGGAATATTGTAAATAAACAGCTCTTGTGTAATTGTTACATCACTGGCCTTGTTCTTGAGTACGATTGAAGAGAGATACGAACTATATTCATTCCACTTGGCCGACTTAGGCACATCTATTTCTTGGGGGATGTATAGGCACGACTGTGCCACACCAGCATGTGATAGATTATGGACTTGGAATGCTTACCATATCAAAGAGTCAGCTGTCAGCTTGAAAGCATACAGAATGACGTCATATGGGTAATTCTGGGATGTACAAAAGACACCCTGGCACTATGTAAGTGATATATATACTTGTACTGCCTACTATTGCAGATAGGCTTAAAGTTCTACAAGCAAAGTCATACCTCAGAGTAGCTGCAGACAAGAAGCACCTCCTACAGGAAGCATTAGGTAAAGCTTAGGGTCACGGACTGAAAAAAAAAGAAATGTCTTGGATGGGGTAGGCAGAAGACAGAATTAGACATGTGTGCAGGCTTGATAAATTTTGGTGAGGAAAGGAGTGGGTCAAAGTGTCAGAGCAAGTTTAGGACTTGTGTAGAGTTCTAATCACTTTAGGTCATGAGTGCAGTGACTGGCCACCTAATGCTGCAGAATCAGAAGTTTAACAAATGATTCACAACAATTCCTGCCCAGGTGATGTGATTATCTATACAGATGGCTCTGTGTTGAGAGGCATAGCAAAAGTGAATGGACGTCGCTTAGTGCAGCAAAGCCTGGCATATGATATCACACTGTCTAGTTTGAGAATGGAAGTGGAGGCAGTCACTGCTGCCTTCCCCTGGAAGAATCACATGTCGTAACTGTAACTGATGACTCAAAAAGCATGTTGAGAAAGGTGGAGACAGTCATGCTCCATGCAGAGTGGCAAGCATTGCTTCAGAGGTCCCGGGTAGTCAGCGTTCTTTGGATATTTTCTCAAGGTCATGCAGGTATGTTGGGAATCAAGCAGGCAGATAGACTGGTCAGTCTTGAACACTTTGTGGTGAATTGATGTATGACAAGCTAGATGCTATGAGGGCCCTTTGGGAGCTGGTGAACAGTGCCGAGGCACAAACAGATCATTATGGTGTGACAAGAATGGTGCTGCGGGGAGTTACCAGGGGATCTGGCCAATGATCAACACTCAAGGTAAGGGCAAGATGGATATACAATCAGAGTCACTGGTACCATAAGAATTTGAACTTTCTGTTTGCTGCTGAAGATGGGGCGAAGCACAACAGGAGTGTCCTGTGTGGTATGATGTCAATTCTTAATTCAACATTCATGAAATGATCAGCCAAAAGTTTATTAATCATTTATACTCTTAAAAAATATAATCATCTCAATGAAAATGCAATCAGTCTAACAAAAAAACTGTTCCTGGGACTATGATAGGGCAGAGAAAGAGCTCTGCAACAGCAGCCAAGAAGATTAAGAACAATATATTCTACATTATAAGTACACAGTATGACACATACAGTTAGACACTGACTGGACTGTTATGAAAGTGCCAAAGAAAACTGAGGAAATGTGTCCTCAGGGAAAACGTGCTATTCAAAATGTCTATAAATTCAAAGCACCACAAATTAAAAGACCGGGGGATGCCTGTGCAAATCTTTACTATTTACACACCCCGTCTAAATAATACCTCTACAAATCCCATGGTTAATATGTACATCTAACATACATTACTATACCAGTTACATTGTTACACTGTACTTAAAAAAAAAACATTTTCAAATGGCACCAAAATCTGCCAACTGCAGCAATACTCTAAAGCGAAAGATCATAAAACTGATATTATGTTTCTCAGTAACCTTAAATCTGTAGTTTATTGCATTATACTTCCGCAGCAATACTTTTACTTGATCATACCAATTTAGATATACTGATGATCATGCAGGCGTTTCCGGTCACTTCCTGAAGATAGGGATGTTGTAAACGGGAGGCGCAGCTGCAAAATGTAAGTTAATTCATGAACTGGCGTGTAACCAACATGGAAGATTGTGATACTGCAAACGCTGGATCCAAAGTGTACTCCCCCCCCCCTTCTCCCTCCCTCTCTCTCTCTCTCTCTCTCTCTCTCTCTCTCTCTCTCTCTCTCTCTGTATCTCCCTCTTTGTGTGTGTGTTTGCATGCATGTTTGTTTTCGCATGTGTGTGTGTGTGATAAATAAATATTTGTGTGTGTTGTAAAGAAAATAACAAGCCATAGACAATATGTAAGAGCAGTCTGAGTGAGAGTGATGTAACTTGGCAGCCAAATAGAGTGGCCTGCTGTGTGCATACATGAGCAGAGATAACATCGCTGCAGCAGCCACTGTGACTTTTAAACATCATTTAATGAGCACATGGACTATGCGGTCCTCACATGCAAAATGGTTGAATCAGTAGAGCAAAGAATTAGCATGACATTTTGCGTTAAGCTTCAACATTCCTGTGTTGAAATTATTTGGACAATACAGAAGGCTTTTGGGAATGATACAATGAGCTCATCACAAATATGGAACAAACACTTCAAAGATGTTGAGGATCTGGTGAATGTGATCCCATTAGCAACGTAGATAAGTAGTTCCTTCTGTTTTGCTAGCAGAATATGCAAAAGCGAATTTTGCCGCATAAGATCTAATACTTAGATCTTGAGACAGAATTGTGGATTCACTAGTAATGTTCTAGCTCTTGTACTGTAAATTACCAATCAATGTTGATTGCAGCTCATACATGTTTAACATTTTATGGTGTTCTGCTCATTGCAGGCATTTTAGAAATGGGATCACATCAGTGTCATGCAAACCATTTTCTTTCATATTAACTATGGCTTGTTCTTTTCTGGACATCCCTCATGTCTGCATGCATGTGCCTGCTCATGCGCGCGCGCGTGTGTGTGTATATATATATATATATATATATATATATATATATATATATATATATATATATATATATATATATGATCTCATCCTCTTGTACTTTTTATCTTCAAGAGGAAAAGTAAACAGCAGGAAACTTCTATATATATAAAGGTAAATGAAAGAAACAGAATAAATGTTTCTTTATTAATATCTTACCCTAGTTGACGTCACAGGACAGTAACATTTTAGAGGGAGGTAAGACTTGGTTTCCTGGTTTTCTCTGCTTTTTATGACACCAAAACATCTAGAACTGGCCCTAACCCCAACCCACCTACTTCCCATGAAAGAGTGCAGCCTAGGTCCCACGACTGCATGCAACCTATCTACCGCCCCCTGAAATACTAGACTGTCCCGTGACTTGTGGATTTCCCCTGTTTGGGGTAGGATATTAATAAAGATCTGAATAAACTGATAAGAAGACAACAGGATATGACCAAGACTATGTGTGTGTGTGTGTGTCTGCCTGCGCACGCGTGTGCATGTGTGGGCATGGGGTATTTTTCAGGTGTATAGACTAGTCATTATTTTATATGCATGAATGAATTATAACAACTTAGAAGAATAACATCTGGTGCAACTTTAAACATAACTAGCTTGAATTGTTTAATACTTTTTTTTTAACATACCCCAATGTACAGATTGAAAACCTAATTTATACAGTTAAATGATGTGAATTTGCTTTTAAAAGCAAAGAAAAACTTACCCTGAATCCATGACAACGAGACTGATACATAGAAATGCCCACAACAAAGATAAGGACAGCAACAATCATCCATGTGTAGAAAACAACCATGCTGGTGGGGGCAGTGGGTGGCCGGTTCATTCTTGCCATGTCTTCATCAACAACATCCTCAATAAGGTGGTTCTTTCTACTTTGGAAATCATCCTTTTCATCACCTTCATCCATGTCTACATTCCATGCTGAACATGATCACAAGCAAGAAAAGTTTGTCATCAAGCAATAAATTATAATAATTATTAACTCTTTTAGTCCCAGAGGACAGTTAATTCCATTATAAATACACCCAATGTTGCGTTTGTTTTTTTTGGACCCAAAGAGTTAAATCCTAAACATAAATCATTATTATTAAAGAACAGTTATTACTTCCTTCTTGGTGTATTCAAAGGTGCTTGGTCATCCAGAGCGGTTGGTGACACTGTACATCTGATTGTTAATTCTGTGCTCATCATGAAAAGTATGTTTGTGTTGTGTCTGTTTACAGCAAAGCTGTGATAATTAACCTTTTGGCATTTGTTGATGACAGGGCTTTCTTTCCCTCTGATCCCTTTTATGAATCATCAGTTCTAGCTCCACTTCATATTACAGAAATCTAACGTGTTTCATCAATTACTGCATGACTGTTAGTAAGGAGATAACTTTACAAATATCCCAGTAGCATCCTCCATTCAATGTCTGAATATATTCAAAGCCATCATTCACTAACACTTCTTCTTCTTCAGCATTCCGATCCCTTGAGGTTCAATGCTGCAGATATCACCCGCCTCCATTCATCTCTCTGGTTAGCCTTCTCTTTCCAGTTGGTAACACCAAATGTTTGCAGGTGTGTTTGGATATTATCTCTACATCGTCTTCTTGGTCTGCCTCGTGGTCTACAACCATTTATCTCCTTGGTGTATGCAGTTTTTACTTCTCTGTCATCTGACATTCTTTCAATATATTCACTAACACTGCTTTTGCTATCTCTTTGTCTTCTCTTCATCCAGATACTGCACTGAAGTGTTAAGGACAGATGTAAGGACTGTATGTATTTTCTTTCTAATGTGTTAATTTTTTTTTTGAGTATCCAGAAGCCATGAGTTCTTAACCCTTAGGCTTGGTATTATAGATATCGCAACCTTTCGGCCTTGATTCCATGATAAATACAGTAAATCTGGGAGAAATGTGGCTTTTCTGCCAACCCCTGGGCGTGAACCCGGACCACAAGGAGTTAGTCACCCGGTCACTGCGCAGTCCAGTTTAGCCAACTACGCTAGAGAGTCGGGCTAATGTGTTGAGAATTCTGATCTTCATTTCTGTATGACCCTGAATAAAACATAAAGACCTACTTACACAACCATGACCATACTGGGTATGTGGTGCTAGGTCTTTATGTCTTTTAGATCAATGGACACTCAATGTGTGGTGATGTGGTCAGCAGCATGCCAGCCAAACTTTACGAGTTTACAAATTTAGCATGAAGAATAGACTCATCATCAGTTCTCGTTATGCCTAGTGGCACATGAGGCTTCGGAGAGAACTTTCCATGCTTTCCTGTCCTGTGCAGTTTTCCATGTCAAAGATGCCACACTCAGGTCACTTTCCATCGTTCATTTTCATGTTGTTTTTGGGCACCCCTGTTTTCTCTTTCCCTCTGGTGTCCATGTGAGAGCTGTTTTGGCAGGTATATCAGAATTCATTCTCATAACGTGGCCAAGCCATTTCCATCTTCTCTTGGTAATCATACTGTCTTAAGTTTATTGGTTTGTGGCTTGAAGTAGTTTAGTGTTTGAGATTGTATCTGGCCAGAAAATTTTGCCAATTCTACGTAGACATGTGTGGTGGAAGGTAGACAGCTTGTGTGCATCCTTTTTGGTCATTCTCCAGCATTCCGCTCCATAAAGAAAAACTGGCAAAATTATGCGCTTGTAGAGTCGGAGTTTCGTTCCTCTGCAGTAACTGTTGGATTTCCAGATTTGCCTCATCCTTCCAAAAGCAGCTCTAGCTTTGTTCGGATGTGACTGTATGTCTTCCTCTGTCCCTCCCAGTAGGGACACCACACTGCCAAGATATGTGAAATGTTCTACATTTTCAAGAGTTTGGTTATTTATAGTCACTGGTTGTTGGTTTGGAAGAATAGACTGCAAGACTTTTATGTGACATATAAATGTCAAACTTACTATAACAGTGATCAGGGTTCAAACCTACAACTTCAGACATCTGCCAAAAGAGACTAAACTATTCTAAGTTTCCCTATCAGTGCAGTAAGGTAAGTTCTGCTAAATAACCAACATTACAGATTTCCGCTAATGCCAATGTCATACCACTAAAAAATGCTAGCCTTACCTGTGTCATTATCTTCATCACCGGTATCAGATTTGTCAGAGCCCTCGTGTTGGTCTTCTCCATCATCAACATCTTCATCTTTAATGTATTCATCATCTCTGTTACCATTTTCCGTCTCCCAGTTACTGATTTTGAATTCTTCACCTTCATCATCATCACCATCATACTCTGCACCATAAAATGTAATAGAAGTATCTATGCTTGATGATTATTTAAAAAAACAACAATCGGACATTACACATTTTAAAACTTGCTTAATTTCTGTTACACAATGATGTATCTAAATTAAGCAAAGATATAATCAGCAGAATACTAGCAGCTGAGATCCTGAAATAAATATGTTTTTTTCTGACTGTTATATTTGCCTCTAAGTCGATGCGAACGCTTCGTAATGTCGGGATGCTGGGTTCGATCCCAACTGCGGGCCATGGGCCTTGCGTTGGTTTCGACAGTGGTATCAAGAAAGCCGACCGTCCAGAAAGCAGTGGAAAACTACTGGATGTAAATTTACCTAGAAAAACCACACAACAGCCAGGTGCTGTTGGGGTTGGTTCTGCAACGTCCTGTAAAGGATACACAACTAACCTATATATGCCTGGAAATCTGGACTGCAAAATTTGAAATCTGTTGAGGGAATGGCAGAAACTTGAGATATTTTTTGATAGATGGGTTATTTCAGGATGAAAAGGTAAAGTCGGGAGATGTGAACCAGCGCCATTGCACACGGTTTTAAACCATAACAAGGTCAGTCCCAGTCAGCAGTAGGGCCAGATTGTTTACTATCACCAGGACTGTTTGAAACTCATTCACAAAAGTTGACAGATGAAGTGATAATAAAACATGACATAGAGATTCAAATAAATGGTGACTGAATGTGTTCAACCGAGAAGGCTAGCCTGGTCAACAAATGCCCACAGAAGTCGGATGTGTTGGCTGAAAGGTACAAATATGGCAGCCATGCTGTAAACGGACACAACGCAATAACATCTTCGGATGAACGCAGAAGAAGAAGAAGAATGTGTTCAAGTTTGCGCATGACCAAGTCGTCACAGAAGAAACAGTACAATTTTTCGCACTATCATGTTACAATTTCCATTTAGGGTGATTAAAACTCGATGGTATTTTTTTTTAAATATTTGTTAACTGTGCTAAATTAAGTGGACAGTAACAGCTGGTTTAATTGACTTTGCTGTTATTGTCACAGCAGACAGTTTTACATGAAAAACACACACAAAAAAAGGTTGTGAAAAAGATCATTTGAGTGTGAGAGTAATAGTAAAAGACTGTCTGGTGGAGAGAAGAAATAGCTGAAGATTTATGCTAGCAGTGGCATAAATGTGCCAGCAAATTTGTGAGAACAGAAAGAATAATAGCCGTCTATATATAACAAACAACTACAGTGGTCACCTACTTGTAATCGTTTAAAATGAGACAGGTGTGTGAAGATTTTAAGGAAAAGTGTCAAAAAGAATTACATTAGTAAATTTTTGGGTAATTATGATATGAAATGGAATTATATGATGATTATTTAGCTGTCAATCTTGAACAGAAGGCTGTCATGGAGAATGACAGAAAAAAAAAAGCTTTAGCTAGATGACATTTCTGACACAGTGAGTGTAATGATGCAATAACCCCACTGAAGTTAGTACAACAATGAATACAACAGTGAACGAGGTGAAATCATATTCAAAGACAAGTCAAACTCAGTATGGAGGTCATGATGAGCAAAATATCAAGTAGCTCTCAAGGTAGCCTGTCCGTGTCTGTGGCTTTGGTGTTGCGAATGCTGTTTGTAATGCCATTGTGCCCTTGTTGATCTCAGCTGCAGACAATTAGGCAGCAAACCATCTTGCATTGGTTTCAACAGTGATACCGAAAGCTGACCTTTTAGAAAACAATAGCAAACTACTGAATGTAAAATTTGCCTAGAAAAACTGCAACAGAAAAAAAACAAAAACTGGGGTTGGTTCTGCAACGTCCTGTAAAGGATATGCAACTAACTATAACTTAAGGTAGCCTGAAAGAGTTAATAGAATACTAGCCAAGTTACAAGACAACTGGCAAAAGGAGAAAATAGTATAACTGAGTTCTAATGGGATGAAAGATAAGGAAATATGACGGATGACTAGCCAATATTGCTATTAAATGGCTGAATTCCTTGAAAAGACATGTGTGACACACTAGTCTGTAAGTGCCGGAGTGCTTCATATCAACATGAGTTAGGCCATGAGATGACCACTGAATCGACAGGCCTAGATGTCTGCGGCAATAAAGACAGACAGATGACAGGTTAATCTGCTAGAGACCTGCTCTTTTGTTTGCATTCAAGGGGTTTGCAAGAATTTCACAAAGTGTCTACGTCCAGGAATCAATGGTAGGTCTCTGGCAGTAACATGTTAACATGTCTAGGAAATAGTAAGTGAACATGAAAAGGAGGAGGGAGTGCCTTTCAATTTCTAATATCAAACATCAAAACTATGATATCTCTCCCAAAGCCCTATATAGCTCTAACATGAGAACAGACATTTAATGACAAGGAACTCAACCTTTACTAAAAGGTGTGTGGCCTGTTCATCTGTAAGGATGCCAATTCTAAACTCTGAGTAATAATTTGGGGAAGATAATGGATAAATAAAAACATGATTTGTGAGGAGAATGACAAGAAATAAACAAAACAACATAGACAAAGGTTAGCACTATAAGAAGTGAAGGTCTAATAATGAAAATACTAGAGGACAAAAGAAAAATGAGGACAGACTTAGGAAAACTACAAACACAAGAATGCAAGGACTAAACTAAGCTGAACAGAACAGCTGAGAACAGTAGGCTGTTCAGGATCAGAGTCTTGTTTTCAAATTGACTAACTTAATGATGATATGACCTTATGCTTATTGATGATGATGATGATGATGATGGAACTACTTCCTGGCATACTTCCAAACCATACAGTTGCCTTATTGTTATTTCATATTGAACTAATTTATATTCAGGAGCTATACAGCCAAAGTGAGCCCCCCCCCCCCCCCCCCCCCCCCCCCCCACTTTTCTCCAATAAGGATAGGTGGACAAGATAACATTAAAGGCAAACAAAACTTGACTATGTCTGCAGTGAAAACTCACCATATGTAATAGTAATTTATTTACCACATAGTGTTCTATTCCCTACTAACCAAAACACCTCACCACATATTCATTGACTGCAATACAGAGCACATTTGTTTAATGACAACTCAGTCAGTTTGTCACATATTATTAGATTATTGTCTGACAACTGGTGTTCATTTTTCTAACCAAACATGTCATCCCACCAAAAGCCTAGCTTAAATTCAATACCCCCAACGTTCTTTTTAGGACGTAATTTTTTTTTATTTGAAGCCCCACTCTGACTTTTGCCAGGGGCCGCAATATAGGCAGGCCATAAATATGGCCAATTGGCTGAACGCGGTTTCTGGGACCTCTCCACTTTGATCCTCATCCACATGGTGGCACTTTGTGTCATCGGGTGTTTATCGCTTGTGTGATGTCCTAGTTGGGTAGAAAGTCAGTCAGTCAGTCAAGCCTAGCTTTTCACCATACACTTCTTAACAAAATAATGGGTGGTTTCCCCTATGCCTTCTGTTTTTGTGATGTTGGATGGATGTGATCCATATATGAATATTAAATTAGCATTTAATTAAATTATGGCTTTAATAATTCTGGAAAAAAAGATGTCATAAAATCGAGTATTAAAATATTTGTGACTGCTCAAAAAGTGTTGAAAATAAGTGATGAATACTACTTGGCGAAAGAACAGACACATGAATATTGATTATCACTTCATTGACCACCTGTTACAATAGTAAAATATAGACTGAAAACTTGGTAAACAAGCTGAAACTCAGAGGTCCCCAAACTTCCTCCTATGTGACACTCTTATATTTGTATGAACATTTGGAAGCAAAGAAACCAACCCCGCTACTGTAGACCACTACTTAACATAATTCTGAAACAGCTAACACCCAAAATATGTAAGCAAATGACTCATATTTTATTTGACATATACATTTTTTAACACTGTAGATTTCCTATGCATCTACCTTACAACTGTCACGCTGTTTAGGAACCAGTGCGGCTACCAGATGTTCACAAATACTGCCTTAAAGTTTATTGACATAGTGCACACAGCCAGAACATATTGATAATACATACATTTGAGAAACAAAACTATCACTGTGTGTGTGTAATTGTGTATGTCTAGATATGTGCTGTACATGTAAAGCTACTTTGCTCATGTCTTTTACAACTCTTGGTCAACTCAAGTTGACCTTGGTTTTTTTAGAAGTTCTGTTGTCTTGTCTGTTGAGTTTACCAGTCACAGCCTGACTTAATTATAAAGACTTGTCGAAATGTTCAGCTGTATTTGTGCATGTCTTTTCTATTCCCTCCATTGAGTTTTCTATCACATTTTATTTTCTTTTTAGCAATGCTTGTTACTAACTCGACTGCAGTCACCCCCTATTTACAATAGCAGTGGTGATAAGACACATCACTGTTTCACTACAGATATTACTGGGAATGATTTAAATGTTCCCTGATTTATTTCAATTACGCTTCAACAATCCCTTTACAAACTTTTGTACACTCCAATAAGTTGTTCGCTTACTCTTAGTCCAAATCTAGTAATTTCTTTCTATAATCCTTGTCTATCGAATCTGTCTAAGAATGCCACAAATAGGTTCCTAGATTAGATGTACTTTTCTATAACTATTTAATTGTGAAGACTGCATCTGTACAGCTTCTACTTCTTCTAAATCCCATCCGTTCTTCTATCAGCTGTGGTTCTATCACTGGTCTCAACCTTGTTTCTATTTTTCCAACATGACTGAAAAGAGAGATGACTGTTCTGACTGCAATCTCATTTGCTTCCTTTGTGCTTCCACACAGGTATAACTATTGCATGATACCACTATTTAAACACAGGCACACAAAGTATTCTACACCCTTCTATTTTTATAGAGAAAAAGCCCTGACTATGACTAATATAAAATATGATAGGAGGTAGAATAAAATATCTCATCATATAACAAAATCATCTCTACAAACGAAGCAAAGAGTGGCAGAAAGGGGAGTTCACAGAGGGCATTTAGAAATAAATAAATAATGCCAAAGAAGGCAGAGAGAATCTGATATTATTTAAAAGAAACTTATGTCTTTAAAGAAAACCCCAGGACAGTAAGTATATTACTAGCCTCTGTATTCTGGTGTTTGAAACAACTTTGTTTCTGAACAATTGTAAAATACAAATTAAGTCCCCCTGTATTTATCTTTGAAACAATTATTAGCAACATAAATTTGTTTAGTGTTGTACAGCGTCGTCGCCATGCTGGATGCAATTTTTAGTTATTTGAAGCCCTGCCCTGGCTTTTGCCGGGAGCCCTAAATATAGCTGAACCTTAAATATGGCCTAACGGCTGAATGGGGTTTCCGGGTCCTCTCCACGGGTGATCCTCATCCGCATGGTGGCACTTTGTATCACCGGCTGTTTATCGCTCAGTGTGATGTCCTAGTGGGGTTAAAAAGTCAGCCAGAACAATTTACTTTCTGACTACTAAACAATGGACTTAACTCCTGTTTACGAAACAAGAAAAACAAATACCTTCATCTTGAGATTTTTCTTGGTTCCCTTCACCTTTATCTGCAAGAGGGGGGAAAAAACCGGAACATTTCAGTTTTTAACTTAAATTATATCAATCAACAAACAACAAGTAAAACAGTTATGGCTTAACATGTTTATATTGTCAAGTCTGATGGAAGGCAAATCTCCAGACATGCAAAGTTTCACTCATCATAAACATCAACATCCACTTCTATTGCCAAGCATTATGGGGAGGAACAGTTTGTGATCCAGTGTTCAATGGGTGGTGCTGGCCACTGTAAAGTTCCCTTACTCAATGTTGAATGGGGACTATACAAATTGATATACATATCAGTGAATGCAGTGATTAAACTCAACGTTGAATGGGGACTATACAAATGATATACATATCAGTGAATGCAGCGACTGAACTCAATGTTGAATGGGGACTATACAAATTATATACATATCAGTGAATGCAGCGATTGAACTCAATGTTGAATGGGGACTATACAAATTATATACATATCAGTGAATGCAGTGATTATTTTCTGATATTTACAAGAAGGGTAATATTTAGTTTTGTCAGATTTAGGAGGTTATTCAAGGTCTTTTCTAAAAGTATCCGACCAGTTACTGGGAAAAATACAGTTACTAAACGACTGACAGATTAGCTACTGCAACCCTTCTAAGTGGGAAGCTACTTTATAATAAAACAAATAGAACTTATATATCTGAAGAGAATAACTGAGCTGGGAGTGAGCACCGGGTCAGGACGATTTTGCACCCACAAGGAAAAAAACCAAAAAACCAGGTGAACTTTTCATCGGAAAAGCCACGTCTTTTTTGGCTAAAATCCATGAAACAGCCTCGGCTTTTGTTGTTATTGTTGAGTACAAGCTAGCACAAGAATTCTGCTGCTATGGTGATAAGCAGCAATCAACGACTCAACCTTTGATTTCCTAGCAGTGAAACTTTCTGGAGATAATTTTGCAAAATCTGCATGTTCCGTTGTAAAATGTGATTTACGTTGTACTCCTTTACTGCCGACACATATTCATTGTATAGCATACACATTGGTTTCGAATTAGGCATTGCAGGTGATATAAATAAATATTCAAGTGTCCAGTCATTACTGAATGAACAATTTTTGCATTCTTACTTTGCTCGCTTACTATTACTAGACATGGCATCAAGTATTCAGTTACAGATTCAGTCTGTTACTATACAATCGTGTCCGGCAATCTACGTGTGACTGTGACTTGTATGTGACTTGACGTTTACACACACATCTGATTATAATCTTATAACAAGATCACTAGCAGGTGTTCTGCGGTGCCCAGTGTCACTCACATTCTGCCACACCCAATGTCATTAGTTTGTGAGTACTAATAGTGGTCACCATTTAGGAGAGTTTCTCGATTAATCTAAGCTCAAACTGTCAGGACCGTGCTGGTATTCCTATACGCCCTCCTGTTAAATAAATATCTCACCTTCACTGACTGTCAAGTGGAGTGGTTGTTTCCTACCTGTTACTTTCCAGCCTATCTTAATACCTTTGGCTCTCAAAAGGCAAGTTCTGCTATTTGAACTAATCTTTACCTTGAACTAATGACATGTTCTGTCCCTGCGCCAGTTCCCTTGTATCTCCACATTTAGAGATTCCTGACAAACATTTCCCATTGACACATTTGACACAACTGGTTTTTGAAGATTTTTACAGAAACATTGATTGATTTTTTTGGGTTTAAACTATGTACATTTCATTGTTTTGGGAACGATTGGTGGGTCACTTGCTAGGCCTTCGCGGACCAGATTTGATCCGTGGGCTGCCAGTTGAACAGCCCTGCCCTAAGAGGTCACGTGAAAAGCTTTTTAAAAAGTATCATCCCTATTTTCACCACTATTTGGATTTTCATATCGACTGCACCTGACTCCCATTTTTGTTTGCCACCGTTTAGTTTCTGTGCCACTGTTGTTTCACTTTGTTCATTTGGATACACAAGGTTACATGAATACTCTTTACATTTTTCATTAATATCAGCACTATCTAGAGCAAAGTCTGTGTTTTGTGTAATTGTACCACTTAAACTTGTTGCAGGCTTACCAGTAGATGGTCTGCTCACCATATATATGCAGCCACTATTTAATCTGTGCGACACTCGTGAGATTATTATAACCAACAGCCTGATTAGTCTTCCAAATAATTTCTGCTTGAGTATCACCAATTTATTAGCACAATTTGATGAAACACTAATGCTTGTTATTTCACAACAAATAAAATCTAACAGGCATTCACTCCACAGATTCAACAACTAACAACTCTGCATGTGAGAAAACCTTTCATAAATTGTATGGCTTCCATTCACCATTCACTTTGAGCACAATATGCCATTTGAGAACAGCATGTTTGAATATTGAGCCTGTTTGAATGCAGACTCTGCTTGATCAGTGAACAGGCTCAGCATTGAAACATGCTGTTCTCAAATGGCATATTGTGCTCAAGGAGAACAAAAACAAATGCTGTAGATTTGCTGTAAACAAACAGCAAAGAGAGGAAATAAGCTGCAGATGAAAACACCCATTCAACATATACAAGTCAACATGTGCCATAAAATGATGAAGACAAACAGGCTCCCCATAGCCAACTCTTGTTTCTTTTCTTTCCCTATTCTGAAAAATCTTAGCCAATCCAATCAACCCACTGGGCATTTTCTCAGTTGTCGGCCTGTACCATAAATACAGAACATATTTTTAAAAATTACTGTCATTTTAAATACGGCCTCAGCAGTCAGCTGAAAATGTGTTTGTGATAACACCCAGCCAGACATGAACAGCACAGGTGAGAGAGATCATCAACTGGGAATCAATATCTCATCCTGCAAAGCTGAATCATAACATGCACGGATACTTCAATATCAAATTAGTCAATACAGCATTGACAGCTGTCAGCTTTAAAAGCATGGTAGTTAAAACAGAGTAGTAAAATTTAAAACATACTTTTCAATGTGACCTTAGGTTAGTTGCATATCCTTTTGCAGAACCAACCCCAGCAGCCCCTGGCTGTTGTGTGGTTTCTCTATGCAAATTTACGTCCAGTAGTTTGCCATTGCTTGCTGGACGGTCAGCTCCCTGATACCACTTTCGAAACCAATGCAAGGTGCATGGCCCGCAGCTGGGAGTGCAAGGCCCGCAGCTGGGATCGAACCCGGCACCCCGGCATTACGAAGCTTTCGCATCGACTTAGCCACAGAGCCAACAATGTGACCTTACAAACTGCAATTTACTTTCAAGTACACTACTTCTACACCCATTAAATAATTGTTGTGTGTATTGATGATGATTGGATATGTTAGTTTTGTTTCTATCGGGAAAGACCTTTTGTTGGGTGTTAAATGAGCTCTCTAGCAACAGAGAATCGACTGCAGACTGGGCTGATCCCCCCCCCCAATGCAGAATAATAAATGCATTGCTAATGGCACAAACTACATAGAAATTTGCCCTCAGCGTCCTCTGAAAGGGAGAGAGAATAAACGACACATTATTGATACCAGTGGTGTCGACCCCACCAGCCCCAGGACTGTGATTATTGCCCAATGATCCGGCTGGTTATGTCTATGTGGGAGAAGCTTCACGGAGGAGCATGGTCTGAAAACTGATGCCTGAAGAATGACGACAGCAGCTTCCTTCTGAGGGTGTGAGGAATAAGATCAGATTCCGTGCAAGCTGGAAGGTGCTTTATGTCAGGTTACTGATTGTGAATTTTTTAAATCATGGCTAGTGGACAAACTAACATGATTTGATGACAACATTTACTCTCACAGTGTATGCAAATTTGGAACAGTAAGGAAGACAAATGTTGGCATCCCACATGAGGAAAGCAAGAGGCAGAGAGATAGAAGTGCAGGGCAGACAAGAATGCACTATGAAAGTAGTTCAAAGCTGCTACAGGCAGCAAACAGGAGGGACTGTACGAGGTCTGGCTGTACCTGAAGAGCAGACACAGTGCCCTCTGTCACGCTGAGCGTTTCTGTCGGAACCGAGGCAACTAGACAAGTTCTTTAGAGACCCGTTTCAGTTTGCCTGAGGCAATTTCGAGCAGCCAAAATCAGCAGAGAATCTTGTTGTCAGTTAAGAGGAACTGGAGTCGCAACTACTCGTTGCCGGTCATGAGGAACTAGAGTCACATCTACTCATTGTCGGTCAAGAGGAACTGGAGTCGCAACTACTCGTTGCCGGTCATGAGGAACTAGAGTCGCATCTACTCATTGTCGGTCAAGAGGAACTGGAGTCGCATCAACTCGTTGTGGGTCATGAGGAACTGGAGTCGCATCAACTCGTTGCCGGTCAAGAGAAACTGGAGTCGCATCAACTCGTTGCCGGTCAAGAGAAACTGGAGTCGCATCAACTCGTTGCCGGTCAAGAGAAACTGGAGTCGCATCAACTCGTTGTCGGTCAAGAGAAACTGGAGTCGCATCAACTCGTTGCCGGTCAAGAGAAACTGGAGTCGCATCAACTCGTCGGTCAAGAGAAACTGGAGTCGCATCTACTCGTTGTCGATCAAGAGAAACTGGAGTCGCATCTACTCGTCGATCAAGAGGAACTGGAGTTGCATCTACTGAGCTTGTACTCCTACTGGACAAGTAATGATCCTCTCAGTGTCAATGCAGAGTAACTTACAGGCCTTAAATAGCTGGAGCTGCTGAAGGCAAAGTTCAAAACGATACCTCCCTTTTGGTTTGAGGTCGAAGAACTTGTGAAAAATGCCAGCTACAAATCTGTCTCATGACCCAATGATGTCCCGTATGTGATATACAAATGCTGGCTGAAAGAACATATTAAGGAGTGGCAGAAGGCCAATGAAGTCTACATTGGCAAGCAGCGAGACTCCTCTGATCTGTCCCAGTAAAGGCCTATCTCACTGTTGAACGTTGTGGGCAAAATGTTCTTCTAGTTTATGGCATGCAGACTCACCAATTACTCAATGCGGAACAAGTATATAGACACAAAAGTGCAGAAGGAGAGTATTCTGGGCGTCCCCAGATGCCTCCTAAATCCAT